GCGCCACTCGGAGCTGACCGAGCGGGAGGCGGCCGAGCCCCCGCCCCGCGCGGCGGGCGAACATGACGCGCCGGCCCGCAGCCGCCGGACACCTCAGCCGCAGGTCTCTTGTCACGACAGTCGACTGACCACCGAGCTGCCAAGAGTCCAAAGAGAAGACGTCTGTGAGGGTTTGCTAAAGCACCAGCGAGCCCATTCAGTGGATGAGGCGACTTACTCCCCTGCGGCCCAAGCCGCACCGCAGGGGCAATTTGGAATTTGAAAGCTCTAACTACAACTCCTGACTGACACTTCTTACCTACTTCCGCCCTTCTCGCGATACTCGACGGGATATGTAGTTCTCAGGGAGACAGATATCGAAGGGCTCTGGCAGAATAAAAACTACATGTCCCAGGAGGCAATGCGTGGCGTAGGCAGGGTTGACGTTAGACAGGGGCTGGTACCTCTCTCGCCCTTGACCGCAAGCGTATTGATCATTGGAGCAGCTCGAGGAGGCGGGGAATTACGCAAAAATCCAACTGGCCAATGGAAAGTGGGGAAGGGACAAGCTTGCTGAAGCCGCGTGGTCACCTTGGATACCGAGGACGCGACTTTTTGTTTGGAGAGGTGGAGCTTTGGAGCGAGACCCAGGAGGTCAAAACCCAAAGAGAAAAATAAAAGCCTAAGTAAGGACCAGAACCAAGGGAAGGGGTAAGCAACTGCACTTTTTAAAGATAAGCACTTAGTACAAAGTAGGATTACCCGCTGTGGATGGTAGGTTAGACCCAAGCTTCGTTAATGGAGTGGCGGGGGAAGGATATGGGGGGGACCCTTGCAGAGCAATAGAGACATTTGTGCTGTTTGAGGGAAGTCTTTCTTCCATAGAAAATACTCTACAGGTATAGCATTGGAATCCTGGCTCCGGAATTCCTGATTCTGAGCGACCGTACACCAGTTACTGAATGTCTCTGATTTTTTTGTTTTTCTTAAACAGGACTCACTACATAGTCCAGGCTGGCCTAGAATTCACTATGTAGTTTCGGCTTGCCTCAAACTCATAGTGATCCTCCTGCCTCGGCCTCCTTGAGTGCAACACAACACATTCTAGGTGTGTGCCAGCAAGCCTAATTTATGTCTTTATGTTTTAACTGCACACTCTTAAAAGGAGAAAAATAATACTTCTTTTGCCTTGCCTCAGAGGGTTTTTGTGAGGATCAAATAAGGTAATGAATAACACAGTTCACAGGATACAAAATTGCAGTGTAAAGTGTCCTATTTTTATTTTAAGGATAACATTGATTCTAAGTCACCAAGAAAAAAAAATTGAGAGCTCGGAATTTGTTTTGAGAGCAGTATTGACCTCTTTGACCACATAATGATCCTTGACTTTAAGGGCTGGAATAAAATACTATCAGTAAAAAAAAAAAAAGAGTCAACCAAGTTCGGTGGAAAGAGTGTAAGACAAGCTGTCCTATTGTTTTCTCGGCTGCCATTGGTTTATGTGTGTCGCACTGACCTGTTTCTTCAGCTTTTTTTGTTTTTTGGTACCAGGAATTGAACTCATGACCTCAGGCTTGCCAGGCAAGTGCTTATGCCTCTGAGCTATATCCCCAGCCCTTCTCCATCTTTAAGATAAAGATGGGTTGTATTAAGTAACTCTATAAGGTCTCTTTTAACTTTTCTATTTTTATGTGGGCAGTAAAAATGGGAGGGTGTTTATTTTGTCCTTATCTCCCGTTCTCTGTCTCTCTCACCTCTCACCTCTCATAAATCATTCCATAAATTCTTTAGTTAAGATACCTACAAACAATACCCCTGCATAAAATGTAAGCACTGAAGCTGGATGTCTTGGAAAATTGCAGCCCTTAGCGAGTGCGATGAGCAGAATTCTTGGGAGCCATAGTGATAAATACGCTGCCAGAGTCCTCCTAATGCTAGTCCTTGGTTCTTTGCTGGGCATTACCTTTTCTAAAGTTCAGAGGATTTTTTTTCCAAGTTACCCTTTCCTCTTTTTTGTGCTCCTGATCTTCCTCCCTCAATCATCTTGGTCCTCTTTGAGGACTCGTGCTAGGAGCTGGCCTTTAGGTTCAGCAAGAGTGCACCGAACGCATACCATCCTTGACTTGTGTTGCATGTGGCCGTAATTGTCCAGACTATATTTTTAGTGAATTCCCACAGGCATAACTCTGCAAAGAAATTTGAAAAAGGCACAGGCTTCAGCAAATTAAGAAGTTGCTCAAATTTGCTGTAGAAATGCTAGATATTTTTAAATATGAATCTTGAGTAAATAATTGTGTTTATATGCTAATTTTTCCCGAGCCATGGTTGTCTACATAGTCATTGTTTCACTGTTTTCAAATAAACAAAACTAAGTCAAGTTGATGAAAAATTAGTTTTCTGATCACATATGGTTGAAATTGAGAAAATTATTGTTATCAAGGTAGATGTAAGATATGAAGGAGTTACTGACACATTAACTATCTGATGAGTATCAGACATCTACATGTCTTTCATTTGACGGACTTATAGCTTTCAAAACATGTCTGCATGCCTCAGCTCAGTGTACCCTTACACACACTGTCTGTGTAGCAGGACAGTTATTATTCCTGCACTACACCTGAAGAAACAGACCTGGAAACATTACGATTAAGCAGTAAAAATATCTGGCTCTCTTCTCATGCTACCAAAATGCTCCAATTTTCTGACACTTTTTAAGAAAAAAATAATGCATATCATAGAGAATCAGATATAACATTTTCTTTTCATAGTTCCTGACTCTTCAGCTTCAGAAAACCATTTCTGTGATTATGAACATATGCTTCTGGTGGGAGTGTAAGTTAGCATAAGCTTTTCAGTTTATTTCTTCAATAAGCATGAAAAGCCTTAAAAATATTTGTATCTAGCTGGACATAGTGACACATGCTTGTAATCTCGGCACCTTAACAGGCTGAGGCAGGAGGATTGCAAGTTTTGAGCTCAGCCTGGGCAACTTAGTGACTTAAGCAAGACCTTGTCTCAAAATAAAAAAGGCAGAGGATATGGCTCAGTGGGAAGACTGGTGTTCAGACCCCAGGACTGGGGAAAAAGTGTTATCTGTGACCCAGAAACTGTGCTTTCAGGGCTGTAAGCATACAATTAGGGATGTTCGAGGAACTTGGTCTTGCAGGGAACCTTATCATAGAAAGTAAATGGATCAATTCAAATGCCTTCAAATGAGAAAGTAGTAATTAAATTAATATACATTTAGAATATTACACAACAAAAAAATTGTGTCTTGAAGATGAGTCAGTGATATGACATATTCCATAACATAATATTCAGTGAAAAGAATACCAAATTGTATGTCTAGTATGATCCCAACTCCACAATAATTATCAAGATGAATTTAATGTAATATTGTATAGCATAGAAACAATTGCAGAAGGGTATGTACCACTTGATGACAGGAATCTCTAAGCCGTGAGATTATGAGTTACTACAATGTTTATATTGTCGATAGTGAAGAAATTTTACAACTGTAAGAAAAACAGTTTAAAGCATTTCTTAGCCTATTTTGTTCCCCAAGACCGATACAATACATCAAAGGTTTTTGCTATCTAAATATAGATGTAGATGATTAGAGGATTTCTTGCCATCTAAATGTAAATGTCAGTGAATGTTATTTATTCAACAGAATGGACAGCAGAGGTCATGAAAGAGTTTTCAGAACAAAGTGAAATCAAACCAAGAAATCAAGTAATTTGGTTTGAGAGAGGGAACTGCTCGCATTCTGAATATAAATTATTTTAAAAGAAATGTGGATTATGATTTCTGTTTTCTTATGAAATGTTAATAAACTCAAAGCATAAATCAGTAACAAACAATCCTGGGGAGTATTTACAGAATCTGTGGGTGGGCCTATTTGAAAGCTGATGGGAAATGGCAAACAGAGAGTTACTTTTCTTTCTTTACAATCTGGATGGCTTGTAATTCTTCTCTGGAGTCACTGCACTTGGTCAGACTGCAGCTATGATACTGAATGAGAGAGGTGAAAGCAGAAATCATTGTTTTGTTTGCAGTCTGATGCAGGAAAGCATTTGGTATTTGACCAGCCTCTATGCAGTTTGCTGTAGATTTTCCATAGATGCCCTTTATCTGATTAAGAAAGGTTAATTCCTAATTTGCTTAGAATTTTTATCACAAGTGCATGATGCAGCTTGTCAAATGTTCTTTCTGTATTGCTAAGATGATTGTTTTCTTTCTTTGAATTTATCAATATGGTGTGTTATAACAATTGAGTTCTCAAATCTTGAATCACCTTTCATTTCCTGGATAAACTTCGCTTGATAGTATTATGTTGTTCTTTCTGTATAAAGTGCTAGATTCAACTTGCTATACTTTCTAAGGGTATTTGTATTTTATGTTCATGAAAGGTATTGGTGTGAAATTTTCTTTTCCTTTTGATTTTGATATCAAGATAAAGAAGCGGGCAAGTGTTCCTTTTATTTTCTGGAAGATTTTCTTTTTAAATAAAAAAGGGAAAACATATTAACAGACACACATCCATTTATAAAATAGCATAAGAATAATACAAACAAAACAGAGTTACAGACAAAGTGGTAGGAAATTAACAGTGGTTGTTGTATTACTTACTGATATCTTCCAAGTGGTTTCTCAAGAAAACAGAGACATACAAGATTGATCAAACAAGTAATCATTAACTGTTCCTTTCAGTAGAACAATAAAGACAGTAGTACAACTATATTAGCTATCCTGTGTATACATATTTACATAATTTCCCCGTCTTTCCTTTCTCTTTTCCCACACCCCAGTTGCCCTTTACTTTTGAGCATTTTCCTTTCATTTCACAATGTCTATCATACCTCCTAGTTTTTATTCACTCTTTCAGGTCTTACACTAGTGAGACAATATAATTTTTACACGTGCAGATCTGATTTATTTCACTTATGAGTATGGTCTCTAGTTTTGACCATTTACCTATAAAAGCCTCGAGTTTATCTTTCTTTATAGCTGAGTAATATTCCATTATATACAAGTTCCACAATTTTCTTATCCAATCCTCGGTAGATGGACATTTGGATTGCTTCCACAATTTAGCAATTACAAATTGTACTGCTATGAACATAGGTCCACATATATCACTGTGATGTGATATTTTTAGATCTTCTGGGGAAATACACAGAAGGGGAATAGCTGGGTTGAATGGGAACCTCTAGTCCTAATTTTCTGAGCAATCTCCAAACTGATTTCCGTGGTGGTTTTCACCAGTCTGCATTCCCACCAGGAGTGGAGAAGGGTTCCTATTTCTCCACAGCCTCGCCAGCATTTGTTATTGGTTGATTTCTTAATGCTAGCCATTCTTACTAGGGTGAGATGAAATCTCAGTGTTGTTTTAATTTGCATTTCTCAAATAACTAATGATGTTGAACACTTTCTCATGTATTTATTAGCCATTTGTATTTCTTTATCTGAGAAGTGTGTATTCATCTCAGCTGCCCATGTTTGGATTAGGTCTTTGAATTTGGGGGTGCTGATATTTTTTAATTCTTTATATGTTCTAGATAGAAGACCTTTGTCCGAGGGACAGTCAGCTAAAATTTTTTCCAAGTTTGTGGGTTTTCTTTCTACTCTGCTGGTGATTTCTTTAGATGTTCAGAAACTTTTCAGTAGGATGAGATCCCAGTTGTTGATTCTTGGAAGGGTTT